CGTGGGGGGGGGTCCTGCAGCTGCCGTGTTCTCCCACAGCAGCTTTGGTATTGCAGTTTCACCCCAGGTTGGGCATGTTGTTAAGGAAAATTCTGCCTGGATGGATGTTGCTTTTCTTTGGGGTGATTTTGTCCTTGGGAGCTGTCTCCAGCATGCAGGACCCTGCCCTGGGGTGGCTCGGGTTTAGGGCAGAAAGGTCGCTGCTCTCCTTGTCTGGAGGCGTTGCGCAGGGAGCAGGATGCTGGCCGGGCCCCCAGCGCTGGATGCCTCATGCTCGCCGATGATGGGATGCTTGGCGCTGGCCCTTTGCTCTTGGCAGGGGTGATGCGATTTGGGATGGCCCGTGACGTCCATGGCCTCTCCGCTGGCTTTGGGAGCGGTGTAGCTGTTGGCTGTGCCGCTGCGGCTGGTTGGGAAGAGCTCAGCCTCCACGGGGCCACAGCTCTGCTGGGGAGCCTCCAGCACTGTCAGCGCCAGCACAGCCCCAAATTCGGCACCCTAGCTCCCTGCATCAGTCTCGTGAGCAGCTGATCTGGCTCCTCCTGGGGCAGATGGACACCGGTGCCAGGCATCCATCACTTAAAAGCATGTGCTGGGGTCCCTGGTCCTGGGGAGCTGGTTTCCTTGCTTGGGCTGGGAGATCTTAGACCGTACAGGTTGTTTGCTCTTTCCCAGCAGGGAGCAGGGTCTGGGCACAAGGTGACACTGTTTCCAGCCAGCATCTCGGCTGCACCAAGCAGGGGCATCCAGAGGCACGACCAAGGGTTGCTCAGGGCATCACTGCACCCCAGCATGACATCCCCTCTCCCCTGGCAGACACCCACACAGCGGGTCTCCCAGCACCTTTGATTTCCCCCTTGCAAGGTCTGGCTTCTTCCCCAGGGAAGCCACACTGAGCTGTGGGCACATCTCCATCCGTCAGCCTGCCCTCTCACTGGGCAGAAGCGGCAGCGTCCTCACGTTTCTCTGGGAAAGTTGCGCTGCGCTTGTACGATCAGATTTTCCGCCATATGATCGTGTGTTTTAAGTGGAAACAGCTGAAGAAGGGCTGGGAGAAGCTGGAGCCACAGCTCCCTTTTCTGCTCTCAGCTGGATGTTCTCTTACCCCATTTCGGCAGCCCGGCACCGCTGAGAAGGCTCTTGGGCCCCGTGGCATGAGGAGCGGTGCGGATGCGGCCCCGCGGAGCTGGGGTTTCGGCTCTCCCGCCCTGGGGAGCCACCGAGGCTTCACCGCACGGGCGAGGAGCGCTCCGGAGTGCCAGATGGCATTTTAATAAATAACAATACCCAGTTACTGCTTAGATGGGATAAGCCCTGTTGTAAATCTCCCCCTTTCCCCAGACTTTCAGTGGCCTTTGAAGATCTCCTCCTCCTCCTCCTCCTCTTTATCTCCATCCAGAGCCAGGATTAGACCTTGCATTCAGACCTGTTACAATGCAGCTTGTATCCCCGTCCCTCGGGAGCTGAGGGCTCATCCCGCCCTGCTGAAGGCAGTTTCTTTGGCACGCTTTGTAATGCGATACGCCAGGCTGGTATCTGGCGCTGTAGTCCTGAGTTGCCACAGCATTGATTTGGCATCTCACTCTCAGCCTCATTATCTTTATTTAATTAGCACACGGCCCTTCTGGGGGTTGTGCCGCTTCCCACACGCTCCCCGCCACGCAGAGCTGCGGAGGCAGCTCTTGCAGGATGAAGAGTTGCTGCTGGCCGTGGAGGGGGACGAAGGCCCCCACATACCTCCACGGACAGGGGTGCGCTGTCTTCACCACCTCGCACCCCAAACCCTGCAGCTCCCGGGATTCAGCCTTTCCTGCAGCCTCATCCCTTCTCCTTTTGGTTTGCAAGCACCCAAACCGTTCGGGGGGGTTTGGTGTCAAGGCACTCCCCGCGTTGCACAGGCAGACAGCGGGAGTTTCCTTCGAGCAGCGTGGGGTTCCCAGTGTAGAGCAGCTCAGCCTGCAGCATCTCACCGAAAAAGCTCCTGGGCACGTGCTCCCCGCACCAGATTCACCGGGGTTTGCACCCCTCGTGTTGCTGGCTTCACCCCAAGGCAGAAAGGTTGGGGGTCTGGCTGGCCTCCGTGCCAGGGGTAGCAGCAAACCCCCTCCTCGCATGGCCCTTGATGCCCATAGGGGGGTCCCGGAGAGGGGCCACGGTGCCCCCAGAGCCTGTGCCCCACTCAGGATGGGGGCTGAGGCTGTGTGGTGCAGTCCATGGACACCCAAACCGTAAAAGCACCCGGGGAGACAGTGTGCAGTGTGACGCCGCGCTCAGATGCATTTCTCGGCCGTTTTGATGTCCCTTTTCTGCTGGTACTGGGCGCTGTCTGAGTGCAATCCGTAGGCGATAGAAGGTCAGGCTGGGGCCAAAATCTGGATTTTTACAGAAATAAATTTTCCTTGCAATCAGTGACTAATGGAAACATCACCCTGAATTAAAAAAAAAAAAAAAAATGCCAAGCAAGCATTGCACTTGCCAACTGTTTGCAGCTTTGCGTTGCAACACGGGCTTGCTGCATGAAACCCAGGAAGTGAAACTGCCTGCTATTAATTGCCCGGGCTGCCAGATCAAAGGCAGCTCAGCAGCGCAGGCAGGGGAGAGCTGCCGGTTTACAGCCAGGCAGCTCCACAATGGGTTACTTGTAACACGCTCGCAGAAATCTGCCCCTGCCGTCCTGCCTGTGACCCGCTGTGGCTCGAGAAGCAGCTTTGCTTATTGAAAAAAAAAAAAAAAAATTTTCCCGTTTTTAAAAAAAATAAAAGCGGTTTCCCACCTGTTCTTTGGATGCCACTGTTCAAACCCCCGAGGGCTCTTTCCCATCTCTCCCCTTCAAATTTACTCCATTCACTTTTGGACTGTGCTAGCGTGAAATATTTCCACCCAAAGGGTGATTATTTTAAAAAAAAAAAAAAATCAAGCACCTTTTAAGAGAGACTTAAAAAGAGAGTTACTGCCTCAGCTATAGCCAGGCTGTTGCTTCCACAGCTCTAATCCATCTGCAGCCGCTTACGAAAGCGGGAAGGGAGCGAGCCGTGCAGGTTCGTAAAGCACAGATTGTCCCAGGCAAACTCGATTGCTGCCTTTAAAGAAATTACAGGGTTGCTGGACAAAGGGATGTGATCGGTTTAATTTATCTAGGCTCAAGCAAGGCGTTCTGCTTCAATCCTACAGGGAGAGAAATAGCTGGAAGGATGCTGCCCGGGCTGGAATAGCGTCACGTGGATGGGAAAGCAGTCGAGTCCTGAAACAGGGAAGTTTAGGGCTGGTATTTCCCGATGTGTCGTAGGCTGTCCCTCCCTCCTTTTCCCAAGGCAGAGGACCCTGAAGTTTTGGGGATGCACGTGGGGTTCGTTGCTGCTTGCCCGCATCCCATGCAGTAATGGAGGCTGCCTGTGGGATGAGTCACTGCTCTTTGCTGCTGCCAGGAGGGTTTTATTCGGTGTTTTTTTCGGCTCCCTCCCTTGGACCTTATTCACCAGGGTGGGGATTGTATTTAGGAAGAGTGCTCTCCTCTTCCCTCAGCCCTGTGCTGTGGCTGTGCAAGGCAGGATCAGGTCCCAGAGGTGGGCAACTGATGAAAATCTCAGAGGGACTGCCAGAAGCAGCCGGATGGCCGGTGGTGGGTGCCGTGCCATGCCGTGCCGGGTGTGCGATGCCCCGTAGAGGGTGCAGGGGCCGTTTTGCAGCAGCCCCAGGGCTGCGTTACTGCCCCCCCCACCTCCTGCGCCCCACATAAATCCCCTCCGCATCCAAACCCTGCTGTCGCCCCG